TTAAGCTAATGTCACAAAAGCTAATTTACAGAAATTATATCTTCCATCCTTAAGTAACGCTGGGGAGACCTGTTTTTATATATGAAAAAAAAAAGCTAATTATGCTACAAGACAAAAAAAACCAACCAATAATAATAAAAAAATGTTATGTGTATATAGCCCAGGACATCCTTGTAAAAGAGATTGATGATCTCAATGGATTTCTTCCTGGTAAAATAAAGGTTTAATAATTTTAAATATGAAAAAAAAAAAGCTAATTATGCTACAAGACAAAAAAAAAAAAGAAAAAAGAAAATGTATTCCAGATTATCTGACTTTAAAATATAAATTAAATTCTCTAAACGGCTCTGATTGCTTTAAATATCTCACTCTGGCTCTCTGGGACAAACATGTTGCCCATCGTTGATCTGGAGTGCAATTGGTCCCTAAAGGTTGGTAAATGTTGGGAGTGTGCATAATGTAACACGGAAACAACCTGTAAGTGTTCCAAAATACAAATCTTTATTTAAAAAGTAACTAACTGAAAAAAACAAAACCCATTACTGAAACTTGTGTTGCCATCTCCCCTGCAGGGCCCCGTGGATTTAATTGCAGCTGGTTTTAACCCCACAAACTCCCCCAGCTGACTGGGAGCCCATTAACACCATGAAACGGTGCAGACTTCCTGTTGCTCCCAGCGTTTCCACACCAGCAGACAAGCGTTTGGGACCTGCACCTCTCTGTCCACGTTCCTTTAGATGTTCAGCAGCTTTTTGCTTCGGTGCGAGACATTAATCTACGGGTCGTCTCTCACCGGGCCGCCACAACTGGACACTCAAATTGCGAGAAGAACAGGGCCATGTTTGTTTGACCAATCTCTGGAAATCACAGTTTATATTATAGGCACAGCTTGTGAAACTGTTTTACCTCGTGCACATTTCAATGCTCGCCTCCCCCAACACCGTACCCCACCCCCCACCAGCCACCCCACATTCATGACATTTTCTAAAAAAACCTGAAAACTTGGTTAACTGATTATTTGCCCATCATTGCACTCATTGTCTTCAGGTGAGGTTCTCCACTTAACAAGGTTGAATTCTTAGTTTTAGGTCTCGTGTCTTTCCTCGGCTAATTCTAGAAAGTTTTGTGTTGGTTCCAAACTTGGACATCAGCTCAATGGAAGCTGATGTGAAGAACATGCACGCACCATTTTATATCCTCTTGAACCAAATATTAGCAGGATCTGGACCTAAGGACACTTGTTTAAAAAAATCTGCAGAATACAAATTTCTTGGAGAAATATCTTCTCATTACTCCTAAAATGTACATTATTTTTTCAATTTTTCAAAGTATTTCTCTTATTTATACTTTTTTGCATCTGTCTTGCTTCATCCTGAGCTTGTTGACATTACAAATTATTCATGTGCTGAAAACGTTAATAGCATTAAAATAAAATAAAAGACAGAACTCCAATTGTTTATAGGACACTAATGTGCACTGTCTTGCCATTCAGTATTTGTTTAAATAAAAATAAAAAAAATCTGTCTAAACAAAAAAATACATAAATTCTCATTTTCTTCTTGAGTTTGTTTTAAAGAAACATCTTGAGATAGTTTATGCAAATTCAATCTCAATGTAGATGAATCAACAGTTAATTTGTAATAAAATGCATTTTTTACCCACATAAAATCAGTCAATTTAGATAATTCAGATTATTTTTATAATAAAAAAAGGGGGATAGTTTAAAAGTCTGATTCTTTTTCTACGACGGAGCTTTAGGGCCATGCTAAGAAAAAAATAATAAAATTAAAGCCATAAAATTACGAGAATAAAGTCGTACGAGACTTGTTTTTTTGCAGCTCTCGTTTATTTATTTATTTTTTCTATGAGTCGGATCCACGACGCGACCTGTCAATCAATCCAGTAGGCGTGTCAGCAAACGACCAATCCGAAGCTAAGTGCTCCTTACCTGCAGGGAGCTGCGCTGCAGCCCATCTCAAAGTCCTGATCCTGATGATAATCTGATGCTGATGTGCTGACAGATTATGTATCTCCTCATTTGTAAAACCAATTCTTAACAAGATGCTCAACATTCTTCATTTTACCAGTTAAAATGCGGTAAACCTGCTTTATCGTGTTATAGATCAAATAATATTACAACTCGTTCAGCTTTGGATTGGTCATTTGCTGACACGTTTACTGGATTAATGGGCAAGTCACGTCGTGGATCCAACTAAGTGGAAAAAAAAAATTAAAAAAGAGAGTCTCGTACGACTTTATTCTCGTAATATTAAGACTTTATTCAACTTTATTCTCGTGATTTTATGGCTTAATTTTTTTTTTCTTAGTGTGGCCCTAAAGCTCTGTCATATTTTTCAGACTCTACAGGACTACACCGTGAATAAATGTTGTCTGAAGCAGCTTTACATTTCTTTTCCCCAGGCTTCATTTGCAGTAAAGATCACTCCTGGCCACTTCTCTGAAAACACTCATTAACTGCAAAACAACGTCCATAAAAATCAGCATTGTCTGGAGAGTTTGTAGTATGAACGCCACGAGGGTGGATAAGCAACAGGAGTGTTGCATTGCTACCTGACGTGGTTAATGATGAGGCTGGAGGAGGGGATGAAGAAGTCCTCCACCCTGTCGAAGTGTCGGCCCACCGGCTGTGTGTGAACGGTGTGATGGGACACTCTTCCGCTGGCTTGATGGATCACCTGGAGAACGGCAGCACAGAAGCAGGTGGGTGTTTAACATGACCTTGATGAACACGCCGCTCTGCCAGTTCCTCCTCATCTCAGTCTTTAGTTATATTCATTCCAGCATAAAGGAATAATAGCAAAACTGACATATTTTTCACTTTACTGATAAAACTCGTCCGCTCGTCCTCTTACTGCTGCAATATTGGATCTTGGCGGTGGGAGATGTGTGTCTAAACAACGCTTCTGTGTGCGTGAAAGCATGCGGCTGTCTGTGTGCAGGCAGGGTTTAATATGATTGTACCACCAAGAACAAAACAAACTGTCGCAGACTGAACCGTGCAATATGAATTTCTATACAAGCATCAAGAAGAAGAATGTTCTGCTAAAACCCGTAAAGACTTCACCTGGTTCTCGGAGAACACAAAAGTCTCTTACATATTTATTGATGGTGTTTCATGTTCATACGCGGTGCAGTCTAAACGCAGCTGGACGTTTGCAGTTTCACAGAACTGTGTTGGTGCATCTAAAACTGATCAGCTTAAATTAAACGATGAGCTAAAACAGACTTCTTCAGAAGTGTCACGTTTCAAATACTTCATCACTGAACTGGAAGTGAGTATTAATTAGATAAGAAAAATAAATCAATTGTAAATCCCACAGAGGCTGAGTGATTAATGTACCCTTGTCAGAAAAGAAAAACATGAGAATTGAACTCAATGGAAGAATTCACATTTAATAAGGTATTCGTTTACAATTCCTCTGTGGGAGTTGCCATGAAATAAAAATCTTTCAACCATGCCAAATAAAAAAAATCTTCATTTGCTGAGTTGGTTATTTGTGGTGTTGTCTACTACTACTCTTAATTAGAGATCCGCTAAAGATTCCCTCAAATGGTATTCATCATCCGAAAAAAAGTTTTTTTGTTTAACATCTAAAACTTGTAGTGGTTTTGTTGAGAAAAAAAAAAAGTCCACTATGAGCATCTCTTTTGGAAAAGATGTCAGTTAAGTATCCTTAATAAGATTACTTAATCTGAATTTTGGAAGAACTAGATTCACATTGTGGGAAATAAAAATTTAAAGCCTCTAATCAAGAAAAGAATCAAATTTTGGTTTTAAAGGCTCATCTTTTAATTACTACCATAATTTCCGCCGTGCACGTTGCACCGTCCTACAAGTTGAATCAGTCCAAATATGTCTAATAAGGTGGACAAATCTATAAATACGTCTCTTCGCTGCATACGTTGCATCTATTAAAGCTCATCAGAGACTCTACTTCCTCAGGCGGCTGAGACAAGCTGGTCTGGAAGCTCAGTCCTCACCTCCTTCTACAGGTGTGCAGTGGAGAGCATCCTGTGCTCCAGCATCAACGTGTGGCATGGAGGCTGCACAGCTGCAGAAAGAAAAGCTTTGCAGAGAGTGGTGAAGGCTGCACAGAAGATGTTGGAGTCAGTCTCCCCACCATCACAGACATCTACACCTCCAGATGCAGGAAGAGGACCACCTGCATCATGAAGGACCACACTCACCCAGCACACACACTTTTTGCCCCGCTCCCCTCAGGAAGGAGGTTGAGGAGCATTAAGTGTAGAACCACTAGACTGAGGAACAGCTTCTACCCTGAGGCTGTTAGACTCATGAATCTCTAACTAGAATAATCACTGTGAAAAATCACATCATGTTGCTGCTGATCTGTTTCATGTTGCTGCTGATCCGTTTTGTGTTGCTGCTGATCTGTTTCGTGTTGCTGCTGATCTGTTTCGTGTTGATGTGTTCATACATGCTCATCTGCTCACACAGACTCATGTTTGTGCTGCTGTAATGTTTTTTATGTTATTAGTGCTTAGTGTATTTTTAGTTGATGTTTTTCTTAGTTCATATCTTGGATCTTATCACTGTTTTTATTTTACATTTTATTGTTGGATGTAACTGGGACCCTGTGCACATAATCTCGTTCCACCACATGAACCACATGAGATGCACATGACACAGAAATCTCTCTGAATCTGATCTATCTCCTGGAAATGTGGGCCGGTGTTATGCCAAAAATTGATTGGCTGCCAAATGGTGGCCGCAGTAGCGTGCATGGGAGGACTTTAACAAAAAATTAACAAAATTAACATTTAAAAACAATTGTTTGTTTGCTCAAAATCATAGCAAATGTTTGTCTCAGGTTAACTTTTGCTTAATAAATGCACTTTGACGGTCAAATGAGCTGCATTTCAATACTCAATTTGCGGAAGCGGGAACACGCAGAGGGATGAGTCACTGTGTATTTCTTTGAAATTTAACAAGATAAGCACCTAAAAACAATTATTTGTTTGCTCGACATTATAGTAAATATGTGTCTCAGGTGAACTTTTAGTTAATAAATGCACTTCAACGTTCAAATCAGCTGCATTTCACCGGGGCGGCGCAGAGAAATTAAGATGATTTGACGGTTGCTCCAGGCGAGCTGGACGAAGGTGGCACGCTATGGCAAGCTGATTGTGTCATTAATAGCAACTTTTACATGATACAACGGCATGCCATACTGCTCGAGTGCCAGCTTGCAGCTGAAAAAGGTAGTGTTCAATATTTTCAGAGTGACAGCAGGTCATATCTCAGTAAAAATTGGTTTATAAATATGGAAACAATCCTTAAATAAGTCGCTTCGGCGTAAAAGTAGCAGGGCATGTAAATTATGTAAAACAACTGTGACCTATAGGGCGAAAAATACGGTAGTTTGTTTTTAACCTTTATTGAAAATGTATTGCCAGTCCCAAAGGAGCAATGATGTTTGTGTTGATTTTATTGTCATGTTAGCAAAATATTTCATGAACCACTGCATGGACTTCGTTGAATGCAATTTAAAAGTCAATAACGTTTGAATAGATCAAATTAATTGAAGCAACAACGGTTTTAACTCAGTCACTGATCGATTTTGAGCTAACCTTTGGAGTGGTAGTAGCTGACAGTCATCCTTAAATCTGTGTACCAACTGATTATGCAACATCTGCGTTTCCTCACTGGAGTCGGCTCTCTCTGTTCACAACATCTCTAATGGTGCTGCTGAAAGGATTTGACCTAAACTCAGAAAATAATCAGATATTCTGATTCTGACCTCAGGAAACAAAAATGGCATACCTCAAACATCTGGACAGACATTTAGCCACATTTCAGTGTGGTAGTAGCTGAAACTAATTCAAAACAATAATAAAGGTGCTAGACCATGCATGGAATATTTGTTTAAACATTTAGCTTTAAGTGTTGGAAGACAACTCAATCTGTTAGCAAAATATCTCCACTGGACAGATTTGAATGAAATCGTTCGAGGTATATTTGCAAAAGATTAACTTCTGGAGTTATCCCAACTCAAGATGGCCACCAGACCTAATGAGCAAATACAGCAATAGTTTTGTGATCAGCTGAGCTCAGATCTGGTGTGGTAGTAGCTGACAGTCCTCCTGAACGTGCACTTCAAGTGTTAACGTTTGGCCGTTGATGCAAGGTTTGACCTGCAACTTGCCATACGATGATCCTAGTTCAACTTTCTGGTATAAAATGAAACTTGCAGATGAAAAGAAGAAGAATGTGATTTGATGATTTACCTGCAGGGTGGGGAAGTTCTTCTCCATGTCCCCCCAGCTCAGCACCCACACCTGGTCATGAGATTTGTCATAATGGAGCTTCACAGGATAAGAGTCGGTGCTGATTGTCTGAAAAACCAAACCACAGCGGGCCTTTACAGACTGCAGAACAATTTCAAACAATTGTGATTGCTTCAGAACCAATCCTTTGATGTGAAGTGGTAATGTTTAAAATGAAACAAAATAAAAAAAGGGTTTTATGCACATTGTGTTGGGGATTGATGGGAGCAACAAGTGAGCTACTTTATCATACTGAAGTAATTGCTTTTTAGTCTTTATCCGTTCCCCGACACACAGCGGTTATATTCTAAATGACAACAGACGAGTCACATGACGCTCCTCGAGCATCATGTCCACCTGAGAGCAGACAGACGCTGCACAGGGAATAATAAAAGCACAGAGAACACACCAGAAACAAGCATTTTCGTTTGTGTCCCTGAAAACATCATGGCAAACCCTTATTCTCACCGCCCGTTTTGATGACAGCAAATTTTCCATCATTTGTTTTGCTTTAGTCCTAATAGTATTGTTTACCTTGGCGTGATATCGAGACGGTAAACTGCTCCTGAGAGAGTTGGCTCCAAAAAGATGAGAATCTGAGCTGAATCCCAACTAATCTCTGAGCATGTAGTCGTCAGAGAGAACAGGTGTTCATATTCTTTGTCTGTCGACGAACAGCTTCTTTTCCACAGAGGAACATTACAAAGTTCCTCAGTCGACATGTTCTCGTATCTTCAGCGTGCAAAGCCATCCTGTCGGGGTGAAGCACTGAGAATAACAAGGAGCAAAATACAACTTGCTCATTAAAAGTGGCTCACCAAAAATTTCACCCCCTCGTCTGTGAGAAAATGTGAAAGCCAGACCAGAAACCGGAGTTTCTCTGACTGTTTGAAACGAGTGACAGGTTCAGACGGTTAATTAACAACTGCTAACAAAATGCAATGAAGCTAAACCTTCAGGCAGCTGAATAATGAGCCTGTGACAGACTCTGGGACAGCAGCCTGCTTACCGGCAAGTCCCTGAGAGCCTTCTGGGCAGTAAACAGCCATCACGGTGTCAGGAACATCTGCAGGGATCTGGGCCACCCTGGATTATCATGGAACACCCAAAACCTGCTGACACTGATGATTTAACTCGGCGGCGCTCTCAATAACTGTGCAGGAAGCTGCCATCGAGGAACTGTGCCATTTCCTCATAAAACCAACACCCCCTCCCCCCTTTAGGAAAATAAATGGAGTTGTGAGCTGGCGGAGTGTTGGAGGGATGGCCTCTGTGAGGAAAACTGCCAGAGTTGCCATGTTCCAATATCTGAAGGGCTGCTGGGCGACAATAACCATGAAAAGGTGGATCTCCGGGTGGCTCGGTCGTCACACGATGTGAAGGTTAACTGCAGAGCTTGACAGCAGCAGTTTGTATGAAATAGGTCAGGTCAGAGATTAGCAGTAAACAAAAAGGTGCCACAGCCGATCCTGACGCTGGAAAAGCAACACTTCAGTGAAACTGAGCAGAACTGATGGACTTTATAAGAGTTCTTGGTGTTGGGCAGCATCTTATTGATCCTGATTTATCTGAAGTCTCTTGAAAGCTAATGAGGTTCAGCCAATCATTCCAAATGATAAATGACACGTCCATAAATTACTTTCTCTCTAATTCTTTTTGTTGTCTCACATGTAAAAGTACTCATGAGTTATCTAAAGGAATAAGATGATCATGTGACAAAGTTCATTAAATTTATCGGTTTTGTTTTATACTTCATTTTTTTTAAGTTAGAAGTATTAAAATGTAAAGGCTTGCTGATATAGAGTTTCTGCAAGTTTCTGGTGAACATGTGACCAGTCCAGGTGTCCCTGTGATGACTGAGGCCTGTCCAGGTGTCCCTGTGATGGACTGAGACCGGTCCAGGTGTCCCTGT